CCTCCAGCCTCCAGCCTCCAGCCTGCAGCCTCCACCCTCCACCCTCCACCCTCCAGCCTCCAGCCTCCACCCTCCACCCTCCACCCTCCAGCCTCCACCCTCCAGCCACCAGCCTCCACCCTCCAGCCTCCAGTCTCCAGCCTCCAGCCTCCACCCTCCAGCCTGCAGCCTCCACCCTGTAGCCTCCACCCACCAGCCTCCAGCCACCAGCCACCAGCCTCCACCCTCCACCCTCCAGCCTCCACCCTCCATCCTCCACCCTCCAGCCACCAGCCACCAGCCTCTACCCTCCAGCCTCCACCCTCCAGCCTCCACCCTCCAGCCACCAGCCTCCACCCTCCAGCCTCCATTTACACTTGATCTTTTTGTTTAGGGCAACAATGGGGCGACAGTAGCTCAGTTGGTAGAGGACTGGTCTTTGGACCTAATGGTCGTGGGTTCAAATCCATCAATACCCATGTCACCTGCTGCCACTGATGTCTGCTGTTGTTGTGTCCCTGGGCAAGACACTTAACCCGACATTGCCACATAAAAAAATTACATAAAAAGTACATCAAAATGTACTTGTACAAAAAAAGTCTGTCTCCAGTCTCTGTCACTTCCTCACCTCCCTCATGAAGTCTCTCTCCCCCCTCATCCCTCATGAAGTCTGTCTCCAGCCTCACCTCCCTCAAGAAGTCTCTCTCCAGCCTCACCTCCCTCATGAAGTCTCTCTCCAGCCTCACCTCCCTCATGAAGTCTCTCTCCAGCCTCACCTCCCTCATGAAGTTTGTCTCCCCCCTCACCTCCCTCATGAAGTCTCTCTCCCCCCTCACCTCCCTCATCCCCCTCACGAAGTTTGTCTCCCGCCTCACCTCCCTCATGAAGGCTCTCTCCAGCCTCACCTCCCTCATGAAGTCTGTCTCCCGCCTCACCTCCCTCATGAAGTCTCTCTCCCGCTTCACTTCCCTCATGAAGTCTCTCTCCCCCCTCACCTCCCTCATGAAGTTTGTCTTCCGCCTCACCTCCCTCATGAAGGCTCTCTCCAGCCTCACCTCCCTCATGAAGTCTCTCTCCAGCCTCACCTCCCTCATGAAGTCCCCCCCCCTCACCTCCCTCATGAAGTTTGTCTCCCGCCTCACCTCCCTCATGAAGTCTCTCTCCAGCCTCACCTCCCTCATGAAGTCTCTCTCCAGCCTCACCTCCCTCATGAAGTCCCCCCCTCACCTCCCTCGTCAGGTCTCTCTCCCGCCTCACCTCCCTCTCCCCCCTCACCTCCCTCATGAAGTCCCCCCCCCTCACCTCCCTCATGATGTCTCTCTCCCCCCTCATCTCCCTCATGAAGTCTCTCTCCCGCCTCACCTCCCTCATGAAGTCCCCCCCTCACCTCCCTCATCAGGTCTCTCTCCCGCCTCACCTCCCTCATGAAGTCCCCCCCCTCATCTCCCTCATGAAGTCCCCCCCCCTCACCTCCCTCATGAAGTCTGTCTCCCGCCTCACCTCCCTCATGAAGTCTCTCTCCAGCCTCACCTCCCTCATGAAGTCTCTCTCCCCCCTCACCTCCCTCATGAAGTCTCTCTCCCCCCTCACCTCCCTCATGAAGTCTGTCTCCCCCCTCACCTCCCTCATGAAGTCTCTCTCCCCCCTCACCTCCCTCATGAAGTCTGTCTCCCCCCTCACCTCCCTCATGAAGTCTGTCTCCAGCCTCACCTCCCTCATGAAGTCTCTCTCCAGCCTCACCTCCCTCATGAAGTCTCTCTCCAGCCTCACCTCCCTCATGAAGTCTCTCTCCAGCCTCACCTCCCTCATGAAGTCTCTCTCCAGCCTCACCTCCCTCATGAAGTCTCTCTCCAGCCTCACCTCCCTCATGAAGTTTGTCTCCCCCCTCACCTCCCTCATGAAGTCTCTTTCCCCCCTCAACTCCCTCATGAAGTTTGTCTCCCGCCTCACCTCCCTCATGAAGGCTCTCTCCAGCCTCACCTCCCTCGTGAAGTCTCTCTCCCCCCTCACCTCCCTCATGAAGTCTGTCTCCAGCCTCACCTCCCTCATGAAGTCTCTCTCCAGCCTCACCTCCCTCATGAAGTCTCTCTCCAGCCTCACCTCCCTCATGAAGTCTCTCTCCAGCCTCACCTCCCTCATGAAGTTTGTCTCCCCCCTCACCTCCCTCATGAAGTCTCTCTCCCCCCTCACCTCCCTCATGAAGTTTGTCTCCCCCCTCACCTCCCTCATGAAGTCTCTCTCCCCCCTCACCTCCCTCATGAAGTCTGTCTCCCGCCTCACCTCCCTCATGAAGTCTCTCTCCCGCTTCACTTCCCTCATGAAGTCTCTCTCCCCCCTCACCTCCCTCATGAAGTCTCTCTCCCGCTTCACCTCCCTCATGAAGTCTCTCTACCCCTCCCCTCCCCCATGAAGTCTCCCTCCCGCCTCACCTCCCTCATGAAGTCTGTCTCCCGCCTCACCTCCCTCATGAAGTCTCTCTCCCCCCTCACCTCCCTCATGAAGTCTCTCCCCCCTCACCTCCCTCATGAAGTCTCTCTCCAGCCTCACCTCCCTCATGAAGTCTCTCTCCAGCCTCACCTCCCTCATGAAGTCTCTCTCCAGCCTCACCTCCCTCATGAAGTCTCTCTCCAGCCTCACCTCCCTCATGAAGTCTCTCTCCCCCCCTCACCTCCCTCATGAAGTCTCTCTCCCGCTTCACCTCCCTCATGAAGTCTCTCTACCCCCTCCCCTCCCCCATGAAGTCTCCCTCCCGCCTCACCTCCCTCATGAAGTCTGTCTCCCGCCTCACCTCCCTCATGAAGTCCCCCCCCTAACCTCCCTCATGAAGTCTCTCTCCCGCCTCACCTCCCTCATGAAGTCTGTCTCCAGCCTCACCTCCCTCATGAAGTCTCTCTCCAGCCTCACCTCCCTCATGAAGTCTCTCTCCAGCCTCACCTCCCTCATGAAGTCTCTCTCCCCCCTCACCTCCCTCATGAAGTCTCTCTCCAGCCTCACCTCCCTCATGAAGTATCTCTCCAGCCTCACCTCCCTCATGAAGTCTCTCTACCCCCTCCCCTCCCCCATGAAGTCTCCCTCCCGCCTCACCTCCCTCATGAAGTCTGTCTCCCGCCTCACCTCCCTCATGAAGTCCCCCCCCCCTAACCTCCCTCATGAAGTCTCTCTCCCACCTCACCTCCCTCATGAAGTCTCTCTCCAGCCCCACCTCCCTCATGAAGTCTCTCTCCAGCCTCACCTCCCTCATGAAGTCCCCCCCCCCTCACCTCCCTCATGAAGTCTCTCTCCCGCCTCACCTCCCTCATGAAGTCTCTCTCCCGCCTCCTCACCTCCCTCATAAAGTCTCTCCCCCGCCTCACCTCCCTCATAAAGTCTCTCTCCAGCCTCACCTCCCTCATGAAGTCTCTCTCCAGCCTCACCTCCCTCATGAAGTCTCTCTCCAGCCTCACCTCCCTCATGAAGTCTCTCTCCAGCCTCACCTCCCTCATGAGGTATCTCTCCAGCCTCACCTCCCACATGAAGTCTCTCTCCAGCCTCACCTCCCTCATGAAGTCTCTCTCCAGCCTCACCTCCCTCATGAAGTCTCTCTCCAGCCTCACCTCCCTCATGAAGTCTCTCTCCAGCCTCACCTCCCTCATGAAGTTTGTCTCCCGCCTCACCTCCCTCATGAAGGCTCTCTCCAGCCTCACCTCCCTCATGAAGTCTCTCTCCCCCCTCACCTCCCTCATGAAGTCTCTCTCCCGCTTCACCTCCCTCATGAAGTCTCTCTACCCCCTCCCCTCCCCCATAAAGTCTCCCTCCCGCCTCACCTCCCTCATGAAGTCTGTCTCCCGCCTCACCTCCCTCATGAAGTCCCCCCCCCTAACCTCCCTCATGAAGTCTCCCTCCCGCCTCACCTCCCTCATGAAGTCCCCCCCTCACCTCCCTCATGAAGTCTCTCTCCCCCCTCACCTCCCTCATGAAGTCTCCCTCCCGCCTCACCTCCCTCATGAAGTCCCCCCCCCTCACCTCCCTCATGAAGTCTCTCTCCCCCCTCACCTCCCTCATGAAGTATCTCTCCCGCCTCACCTCCCTCATGAAGTCTCCCTCCCGCCTCACCTCCCTCATGAAGTCCCCCCTCACCTCCCTCATGAAGTCTCTCTCCAGCCTCACCTCCCTCATGAAGTCCCCCCCCTCACCTCCCTCATGAAGTCTCTCTCCCCGCCTCACCTCCCTCATGAAGTCTCTCTCCAGCCTCACCTTCCTCATGAAGTCTCTCTCCAGCCTCACCTCCCTCATGAAGTCCCCCCCTCATCTCCCTCATCAGGTATCTCTCCCGCCTCACCTCCCTCATGAAGTCTCTCCCCCCTCACCTCACTCATGAAGTCCCCCCCTCACCTCCCTCATGAAGTCTCTCTCCCCCCGCATCTCCCTCATGAAGCCCCCCCCCCTCACCTCCCTCATGAAGTCTGTCTCCCGCCTCACCTCCCTCATGAAGTCTCTCTCCCCCCTCATCTCCCTCATGAAGTCCCCCCCTCACCTCCCTAATGAAGTCTCTCTCCCCCCCATCTCCCTCATGAAGTCCCCCCCCCTCACTTCCCTTATGAAGTCTGTCTCCCGCCTCACCTCCCCCATGAAGTCTCTCTCCCCCCCTCACCTCCCTCATGAAGTCTGTCTCCCGCCTCACCTCCCTCATGAAGTCTCTCGCCCGCCTCACCTTCCTCATGAAGTTCCCCCCCCTCACCTCCCTCATGAAGTCTCTCTCCCCCCCACCTCCCCCATGAAGTCTCTCTCCCCCTCACCTCCCTCATGAAGTCTCTCTCCCCCCCACCTCCCCCATGAAGTCTCTCTCCCCCCTCACCTCCCCCATGAAGTCTCTCTCCCCCCCCTCACCTCCCTCATGAAGGCTCTCTCCAGCCTCACCTCCCTCATGAAGTCTCTCTTCCCCCTCACCTCCCTCATGAAGTCTGTCTCCCGCCTCACCTCCCTCATGAAGTCTCTCTCCAGCCTCACCTCCCTCATGAAGTCTCTCTCCCCCCTCACCTCCCTCATGAAGTCTCTCTCCCGCCTCACCTCCCTCATGAAGTCTCCCTCCCGCCTCACCTCCCTCATGAAGTCCCCCCCCTCACCTCCCTCATGAAGTCTCTCTCCCGCCTCACCTCCCTCATGAAGTCTCTCTCCAGCCTCACCTCCCTCATGAAGTCTCTCTCCAGCCTCACCTCCCTCATGAATTCCCCCCTCATCTCCCTCATCAGGTATCTCTCCCGCCTCACCTCCCTCATGAAGTCTCTCCCCCCTCACCTCACTCATGAAGTCCCCCCCTCACCTCCCTCATGAAGTCTCTCTCCCCCCGCATCTCCCTCATGAAGCCCCCCCTCACCTCCCTAATGAAGTCTCTCTCCCCCCCATCTCCCTCATGAAGTCCCCCCCCCTCACCTCCCTCATGAAGTCTCTCTCCCGCCTCACCTCCCTCATGAAGTCTCTCTCCAGCCTCACCTCCCTCATGAAGTCTCTCTCCAGCCTCACCTCCCTCATGAAGTCTGTCTCCCGCCTCACCTCCCTCATGAAGTCTCTCTCCCCCCTCATCTCCCTCATGAAGTCCCCCCCTCACCTCCCTAATGAAGTCTCTCTCCCCCCCATCTCCCTCATGAAGTCCCCCCCCCCTCACCTCCCTCATAAAGTCTCTCTCCCGCCTCACCTCCCTCATGAAGTCTCTCTCCCGCCTCACCTCCCTCATGAAGTCTCTCTCCCGCCTCACCTCCCTCATGAAGTCTCCCTCCCGCCTCACCTCCCTCATGAAGTCCCCCCCTCACCTCCCTCATGAAGTCTCTCTCCCCCCTCACCTCCCTCATGAAGTATCTCTCCCGCCTCACCTCCCTCATGAAGTCTCCCTCCCGCCTCACCTCCCTCATGAAGTCCCCCCCTCACCTCCCTCATGAAGTCTCTCTCCAGCCTCACCTCCCTCATGAAGTCCCCCCCCTCACCTCCCTCATGAAGTCTCTCTCCCGCCTCACCTCCCTCATGAAGTCTCTCTCCAGCCTCACCTCCCTCATGAAGTCTCTCTCCAGCCTCACCTCCCTCATGAAGTCCCCCCCTCATCTTCCTCATCAGGTATCTCTCCCGCCTCACCTCCCTCATGAAGTCTCTCCCCCCTCACCTCACTCATGAAGTCCCCCCCTCACCTCCCTCATGAAGTCTCTCTCCCCCCTCATCTCCCTCATGAAGCCCCCCCCACCTCCCTCATGAAGTCTGTCTCCCCCCTCACCTCCCTAATGAAGTCTCTCTCCCCCCCATCTCCCTCATGAAGTCCCCCCCCCTCACTTCCCTTATGAAGTCTGTCTCCCGCCTCACCTCCCCCATGAAGTCTCTCTCCCCCTCACCTCCCTCATGAAGTCTGTCTCCCGCCTCACCTCCCTCATGAAGTCTCTCGCCCGCCTCACCTCCCTCATGAAGTTCCCCCCCCTCACCTCCCCCATGAAGTCTCTCTCCCCCCCACCTCCCCCATGAAGTCTCTCTCCCCCCTCACCTCCCTCATGAAGTCTCTCTCCCCCCCACCTCCCCCATGAAGTCTCTCTCCCCCCTCACCTCCCCCATGAAGTCTCTCTCCCCCCTCACCTCCCTCATGAAGGCTCTCTCCAGCCTCACCTCCCTCATGAAGTCTCTCTTCCCCCTCACCTCCCTCATGAAGTCTGTCTCCCGCCTCACCTCCCTCATGAAGTCTCTCTCCCCCCTCACCTCCCTCATGAAGTCTCTCTCCCCCCTCACCTCCCTCATGAAGTCTCTCTCCCGCCTCACCTCCCTCATGAAGTCTCCCTCCCGCCTCACCTCCCTCATGAAGTCCCCCCCTCACCTCCCTCATGAAGTCTCTCTCCAGCCTCACCTCCCTCATGAAGTCCCCCCCCTCACCTCCCTCATGAAGTCTCTCTCCCGCCTCACCTCCCTCATGAAGTCTCTCTCCAGCCTCACCTCCCTCATGAAGTCTCTCTCCAGCCTCACCTCCCTCATGAACTCCCCCCCTCATCTCCCTCATCAGGTATCTCTCCCGCCTCACCTCCCTCATGAAGTCTCTCCCCCCTCACCTCACTCATGAAGTCCCCCCCTCACCTCCCTCATGAAGTCTCTCTCCCCCCTCATCTCCCTCATGAAGCCCCCCCCTCACCTCCCTAATGAAGTCTCTCTCCCCCCCATCTCCCTCATGAAGTCCCCCCCCCTCACCTCCCTCATAAAGTCTCTCTCCCGCCTCACCTCCCTCATGAAGTCTCTCTCCAGCCTCACCTCCCTCATGAAGTCTCTCTCCA